GTTTTTTTCCCGATAAACAGGTAGAAATGCCGGAGTTTCTTTGTATATGAAATAAATCTGACAGCTAGTCAGCTATACATTTCAAAATAATTACTACCAGATTAAAAGAAATAGGTTCAGTTGCACAAAAAATACTAGTGGAATTCAAAGTTCTCTTATAGATAGAAAGTCACTACTCATTTCGTGAAAATATATATAATAACAGTTACCATAAAAAAAAAACTATTAAGCTTAAAATAATCTTCCTTTTCATGTCCTACAAACCAATTCTTCGGGATAATTTCCTCCTCAAAGCGACATATATTCTCACTTGATTACAGTCTGAAAGCCAACACATCAGTGCCATCAACCCACAAAAAACTTAATAATCTTCAGAAGTCTTGTTTCTGGAACAAGAGTAAAATTTTCTCTCGTACCTGCATTTTATTTCTTGATTTATGTTGAACACACCTATCACCACAGTGACAAAAGGGAACTCTCGAAGTAAAAGTACCTAATGCTCTTGAATGTTAGCCACTTGTAGAAATTAATTGAATTTTCATGTTTCTTCTTTTATCAAACGATGCTTTCCTAAGAAAGACCGGCTCATTAAAGCTCTTCTCGCATTCGTCCTTTGGGGGTGAATAAGGAATTGATAAATTCCATTTTGATGTGATGGAGGATACCACCACCATTAATGCTTGCAGAAAAATTTGGATTATATAGTGGTTATTCTCCCCTCTGCAATTCTTTAATAGGTGTTGGCTCACGACGAGAAATAATAGAATTGCAAGGTTCCAAGTTCTCTCTTCGTCTCTTCTGCTATTTGCTCACGGTGAGGACTTTCCTCTTTCACATGGTTCGTTCTTCTTCGGCGGCTCACAGGTAAAGGAGGAGAGAGGAGGTCGAGGGAGATGAGAGAGAAGAAAGGGAGAGCTTTTCTTGTAATAGGTGATCGACAAGTGTAAATCTCAACCAAATAAAATTCACTACAACTCTGTGGACATAGACAATTTGTCGAACCGCGTAAATCTGTGTGTGTTGACCTCACTTTTGATTGAAGTCTAGAAAACTTCTTTAGTAGCCTAGGTCTAGCCATAGGACTTTTCTATTGACTAGTCTTAGAAAATTAGAAGAGGTACCCCACCATTAGAAATTCAAAA